AGTAACAGGTTTTAAACTAAACACACTTTTTAACTAACTTATTAGCTTAATTTTACCACAATCAGCAGTCAGCACAGGTTCTGTTAAGATGATTCTTATGCTTGTATGCTTTGTTATGCATGATATTAACCGTCTACTCTGTCAAGGTGATTTGCTGGAGAGCTGCGGCCAGTATTGCTTGGGCTGTCCTGCTGTTGCCACCCACCACCGCGGTTTTTGTAATCCTCAGCAGGTTCAGTCTTCTCCATCCCATCCAAACGATATCAGGTCTGTCGGCACGTTCATTTAACAAGATCTGACCAAGAGCTGGTGTGTGAAACTGTGTGTGAAGCTTCTCTCTTTACCTGCAGAATGCTTCTCCCTACTCATGAGTGCAAGTGCCATCTTCTCCTTCCTCCTGCTGTGTGGAGTGATCCTCATGGTGGGCTTCTTGAACCTGGAGTATTATACAGGTGAGTGGCGTGAAAACAGACATCAGATGTCGGAGTTTCCTTGAGGATATTATAGATGTTCTTTTACAATTGACTTTTTTTTTTTTTAAATAGTCATGTTATACACAACTACAGTTAGTTAAGGTATCCCCACGATCTTCTAGAAATACTGTATTTATTTAGATTTTCCAATAAAGACAAATCAATCAACTATATTTATAAATCTGAATTTCTTTGCTGAGAATTCCAACCAAGTTCGGTTCCTCGTCACAATAATGTGCATTACTCTGATACAGTTTCTTTACAAGAAGTTGAAGTTTGTTTATACATTTTTTTTCTATTGAACTTAATAGTCCTTTTTTTGTTTCTCTTCAGTCATCCCAACCATCGCATGCTCAAAAATGGCCCTGCTGGGACAACTGCTTCACCCTCGTCAGATTGTAAACTCCCTGGCCCACTGCATCATGGGAATAGTTGTGGGCTGGTCTTGTGCTGTCACCATCGGTGGCAGATATGAGATGCTTGGTTACCCGTGCACGCAGAGTGAAGGGTAGGCGGCCACCATATAAAACGATAACGTTGAGTTTAACGTACCTGAGCTAAGTTCTAACTGCCTCATTTTGTGTTCAACACTGACAGTTCCCCTCAGATGTGTCTGAATGAGTATCACCTCATCCTTCTGCTGGCTGGAGCCTTTGCTGGACTCTCTCACAGTCTATTGGGTGTGATCCACAACATGAACTATGTCTCCTTCCACACTGTTCAGGTGAGGGATATCTTCCTTTATTGAAACGGTAAGATGCAAAGTGACAGTTTGAATGTAGTAACATTATATTATTATTTTATAATAATCAACCCAAACACAAATCAGTGTCTTAGAGTTCCACTGTTGTTGTTGTTGTTGTTGTTGTTGTTCATGTTCACCTTTTGTTATTTCCTCAGCAATACAAATACCTTCACTTCAAGGGATCGCTGCCTCTGGTGGTGAAATGCAGCGCCACTCAAGCACTTTACTCTGTCAGGAACTTCATTGTTGTGTATTTCTTTTTGGGTGAGTGACGTCTGTTTTCAAAGCAGTAACACAAAGCTACTTCGTCCTGCATCAAACTGCTCAATCAGTTCAAGCTTTCATAAAGTTACAGATAAAGGGAATAAAATATTTTAATTGAATAATAACAGGATACATTCCAAGAGTATGGATCTGCAAAACACTGAATCTTCATTTGAACAGGTCAGTCATTTAAATTTGAAAAATAGATTTAGATATATATACATATATGATACCACAAAAACATTCTCCAGACTGATGTAAAGAATTACATGGGTGTGTTTGTGTGCAACCTCCTCCTCCAGCTCCACCCACCCTCTTGACAGCATAGCAGGCCTGTTGGACCTCTCCCTGCTCTACCAACTGTGGCTCAGTGCCACCTTCCTCCTCTTTACATGGTACATCACACTGCTGCTCTTTAGGATCTTTGTCACTGAGGTATGTTTCTTTTATACATCCACTAAACTGATAAACACAAGTGTTGTGTGCATGTTGTGTGTATGTTATTGGTAAATGTCTCATCAGTAAAAAAAAGAGTCTTGAGAAGCCAAAAGTTATTAGAAAGGTTTCTTATCTACAGGTGTACAGTTTTCCAGTGCAGTCTTCTTTTACGGAAGATGCCCACCAGTGTCTACCCAAAGTTGTGACAGACAATCAGCCAATAATATTGAAGGTGGGTAAAACACACACACAGATTCTCTCAGGTTTACTCTTTGTGCTGTATTTACTGATTACTTAATGTGTGTTTTATCGCTTGTCCATCCCCAACTTTAGTTCCTAGCTCTGCAGGATTTGGCTCTGCTGTCTCAACACTCCCCATCACGGCGCTGTGAGGTCTTCAGTCTGAGTCAGCCAGGTCTGTTATATCATCTACGAAGACGTCCTAGTCTATACTGCTTCTTTTTCCCTGTGAACAATATTTTCTGACACACTTCAGAGATTCAGATTGTATTTAGAAGTAGCCTGCAACAGAAGCTAACTGTATCCACTATGTATTTTCAATCGTCTTTCTCAGGTGGCCATCCTCACAACTGGAACGCCATCAGTCGGGAGTGTCTGTCACTGCTGGCTGATCTGACACAGAGGCTTGTTGCCTATCACGACAATGTGGCAACCAATGGCAGGGCCAAGTCACTGTCGACTGGTAGTGAGAGGAAGACTTCATCTGAGACATCAGGTGAGTGCCGGTTGATTTGTAACAAGCCTGATATAGTATTTGTATTTTACGTTGTAGTACAGCACCAGTACATTTATTGTAATGGCGTTTGTCTTGAATGCAAATTAGGAAATAGTCATAGACCATGTATTATCTTAAGGATTTTTTAAACCTAAAATATGTTTGAAAATTTAATCTAAATGATCTTTGTCATTTATTTCTCATACCAGTAACCTCAGGTACAGAGGAATTCATGTCCCCAAGGCCCAATCTGCTGATGAAAACCCCAGCTTCAGTCTTTGCCCGCTCCATTGTTGGAGGCCAGCAGAGTCCTCTGACGGCACCTTTCACTCCTGACCTGGACAGCCCCTTCGCCTCTCCGGCCCTGCGCCGCCTCACGGCTCCAGTAGAACAATGCTCGCCGTGGCACGGAACGGTGCAAAGCCCACACATCATGAGGAGGGGGCCAAAACTCTGGTCCACCTCCACAGGTGAGAGAAGCCTCATGGTCAGACCGCACAGAACATCATTGCATCAGTTTAGTAGAGGATGGATGGTTGACGGCTGTCTGATTCAAGCTTTTCGTTCTCACGTGTGGCTTAATCCTCTTTGTCGGTTTAGATTCACAGGTCAATGGCAGCCCCCCACCACCATCCCCGGCCTCAGTCCCCAGTCTCCAGCAGGAAACCTCTAAACCAAGTCTACTGACTCAGTTCCTCCAGAACAGAAGAGAACAGGTACTTCAGTCGTGTTTCAGATCAGTTTTATGATGTAATTGTTTGTGTGTCCAGCATTTGCTTCTGACATACAGCTTTTCACACTTAACATTTATCAACCCTGAGAGAGTCAAAAGACAGACCTCCATTTGACCCATATATTCTTTTCCTTGTTCATATGTGAACCACACTAATCCCCTTTTGTCCCAGTGGTGGACAGGCAGTGTGATAGACTGTTAATAAAGACGGACGACGTGTCTCCTCTTGTGTTAAAAAAAAAAAAAAAAAAAAAAACTGAAATACTTGTATGTATTTGATGTGTACTTGGATTTTATTTTTAAATAAAAGTTTATGACCTATACTGCAGCCAGCCATCAGGAGGCGATCCATAGGATTTGGCTTTACTGTTGGGGAGCTGTCATGTCGTCCATCTTTATTTACAGTCTGCAGCTTCAGAGACGAGACAGGGCTGTGACTCAACGATCACTATTTCGTGTGAAAATCCATGATTTGTGCTCCTTGTGTCGGCTTCTTCTGATACCAAAACAACTCTTCGCTTAATTGTCCCATTCAGGTTAAAAATTTCTTGGCAAAGCGGGTGCTGATAATGTATTTGTTTAACAAGGTAAGGATGAGTTGCATGTGCATGCTTTCTCTTGTAGGAGGAGCTTCTTGCAGAGTAGTTCTTGTTTTGCTTTTTCGTTTATCTGATTTTAACTATTCCACCCGGCAGATTTCACCCATTTAATTCCTGGTTAGGCCTAATTGTCTCAGGCACTACTAATGTAGCTCTCTTTCACACATCAAGCTGTAACAACAAGCCTTACTAATTACTTTGAACGTAATATAAAAGTGGTGTTATTTGTTTTTCCTTAAATGTTGAGAAATCTTATTTTTGTGATTGCATGTTTTCCTTTATGTAGAAACTAGTGGGTGTGTCTGTTTTCTTCATGAGGTTTCTGTATGTTCCTTTAATCATGCATGTGTGTTGTAGTGTAGTCTCACTAAATCTTGTACAACTAGCACAGCACTCAGTAGAGCAAATACCTCCGCCAAGGCCCAGCAGCCTCCCTGTGAAGCCACAGTTAAATCCACTCGATCTAGATTTTTATTTGGATCTGCATCAACATTTATACACTCATAAAAATGTTGGCCCAATGTGAAAGAGTGAGACAAATTCAGCGATCAGCCCTTTTATTTAAGGGGCTCCTCCCTGACCAATAACACATCCTTCCACTAAATTTCACGGACATTCGTGCAGTAGGTTTTGTGTAATCAAACAGACGGGGGGTGAAAACATAACGACCTTGGCTGAGGTAACCAGTAACTTCCAGAGTCTGAATCTACAATCAGCAGTAAAAAACCTCTCGCTCACTAACCCTGTGTCTTGCAGCTTCCAGAGGCCTCCAGCCAGGCTCTCTTTGCTGACAGCCAGGCTCACATCTGGGCTTTAGAAGGTAGGACGAGCTTCTTTACTGCTGTCACCTGATGTGGACGCAGCTTTCAGACACACTCATTGTGTCCTTATATCCTCCTCCAGGACTGTCTTACCTTGTTCAAGCCTCCTTCTCAGAAGACCAGTTTGGGGTTGTACAGACCACGTTACCCAGCATTCTCAGCTGTATGCTGGTCCTGCAAGAGGTGAATTGGTTTCCCATGCTCCCACATGTAATTTAAATAATGTGCCTATGTGACAAATAACACAAAGCAAAATGGTGACCCCCCTACTGACCAATTCAGTGTACTGCATACAAGCAAGCAATAAAAATGGCTCCTGCAGCTCCTGACGCTGAGGCAACATGTTCAGGATGCACAAACAACACAGCTGTGTTACACTGCAGCGTAGATGTAGGGGAAACAAATGGGTTTTTACTTGCTGAATTGTTTGCACACTGACAACCGTCCTCCTCCCCTCCAGGCTGTGGATCGTCACTTCAAGCTTCCTCACGCCTCCAGTAAACCCCTCAGGTCGACCAGCAGCATGGGAGACTCCAATTACAAAACACTGCGCTTCGCTCTCAGGGCCACACTCAAGACGGCCATCTACAGGATAACAACCACGTTTGGAGATCACTTAAAGTAAGGCCCGTTTTGAAAATTAGACTTTCTCCAATGGAATAAATGACGTGTATTCATTTCTCATTTATGTGTTAAATCCTCAGAGCTGTTCAGATGTCGGCTGAGCACCGGAAAAGACTGCAGCAGTTTCTGGAGTACAAAGAATAACACACCTGACACTTGTGGCTTCTGTGCCTTTGGATTCTTATCAGTGTGATGTGAACACATTGGTTTACATGAGATAACAAGCGAAAGCCCATGATAGTGCCTCTTTTAATATTTATGCACTATGTCCAGGAGGATTGTATTCGATACGCTAGCTCACGTCTTCTTCATACACGAGGATTCCAGAGTGTGAAAGACTCACCTCTTGTGTTTGGGATTATTGAAACCAGCCGACAGCACGGATCCGCAGCTCATCACAAAAGATGTTTCATTTGTACTGCAAAATAATATCACTGTTATGTTTGGTTGATCGGGATGAGTTGTAAATGGCTGTTTATTCCGCTTTATGGTTTCATACTTTAATGACATCTGCTTAAATTATATCCTTGTGATTTCCTTTAACATTTTGTATGGAACGAGATGAATGAGATCTCTTCCGTTCACAGGTGTCACACTTGTGTTTTGTCTGATCTGGTTTTGTTCTAGACTTCATCCAGGTGAATTGTGTTCATCAGTCCAGGTTGTGAATCTAGGAAATGCACCACAATTCAATTTTCGTGTTTGTCGGTTTTGAGTCAGTTATTGTGTGTTTGGTTGTGACTGGTTACAGTTGTGGGTCACTACCAACACGAGTTTGAGTTTTCACTCAGAGACTTGTTGAATAAAAACTTCATAAGAAGATCATGTGTTGAAAATATTATTATTAACTATGTCTCCATGTTACTGACAGAAATCTATGAGTGTCCAATTGGGTGTGCGGCCTGATTGATTTAAAGGGGTCTGTGCTCCAATGAGATTTTTTAACTTTTAATCAATCCTTAAAAAAACAGTTAATATCCATTAGTTTGACTTCAAACCCTGCAAACATTTGAAAATTGATAATAGAACAGGAACTCTCGTAAACAAGTGCAGTGAAATACAAAGAACGAGACCACGAGACGACTGGGACATCAAGAGCACTGTCTTTTTGTTTATTGCACGAATCGTACATATTTCCAACTGAACTGGTAGAATGCAACATTAGGCAGTGGTGGAAAAAAATGTCCATCAAAAGCCTCATTATGTATACAAGATGCCAAAAATCGAAAATAGCCTGTGGGAAAATTCTGGATGGAATTGTCTCAAATGATGGATCAAGATATAGAAAGGAAAATACTGTTTTTTTTGGGAGAAAGAGAATCAAAACTTCAATACTAGAAATGACAATGACTGTTCATCAACAGACGAGGATTCGTTAAGGGAAAACACGGTGCCTCAAGTCTTTTTGTTTTCTCTGGAATTTAAAAGTACTTTGTCCTCATAAAGAATATAAACCTCTGCATCAATACCAATCAAATGTTTCAACTTTTGTTTTCTTCTTTGAAGTCAAACAGCATTTGCTAAAGTATTTTTTTTTTTTTTACAGTTTTAATATATATTTATATATGTACATATAAATTCAACTAACTAGAGTTCTCATAGAAAATGAGAAAAGCTGGACTTTATCGCTCTCACACAACAAATGACTGGCAAGCATATCGACCCTGCCGACCCCTGTCCCCCTCTCTGAGCCGACGGTAATAACGCCACAGATTGAAGTTTCCACTGAAAAAATATCACTCTGCAATTGATCGGAGACGTTTCCCACCGCAGCCGGATTTTAAAGAGTGAATTTTCACTCGTAAGCAGCTTTTCAATTGCGATTGATCCAGGTCGGCCCAAACCCAGTCCTTGATTTCCACATGCTGAACGCCGCTGTCACGCTCGGTGAGAGAGTTGAATTTCCTGTCAAACACGGGTGTCGGGATGGAGAGTGAGTGGGGGTGAAGAAGGAAGGATGAGGAGGCAAGGCTGGTGGAAGCAAAAAGGAAACCTCTTCCTCAATCAACAAATGCAGAAGTGCAAAATACCCCCTCGAAAATAAAATAAACTACACTGTGAATTTTCAAATGAGGTACAGACAACAGCCCTCGCACCTCTCCAAAGAAATTAAACCCTCAGTGCATGTTTTGTCAACGTCTCAAACTAAAGCATCCCTGATTCAAAGTGCAGTCAGTAGTGAGAGGGGGGGGGGGGGGGGCAACAAGGGGCAATGGAGTGAGGAAGGGAAAGGGCAGCTGAGGGCGGTGTGTAGGGTGATGCAGCATGTAGGGTGATTAAGTCGTCCTCTGGGAGCAAACGTGGGACAAATGCAATTAATTGCTCAAGCTCCCGGCCAGAAATCAGTACGAGCCNGGGGGGGGGGGGGGGGGGGGGGGGGGGGGGGGGGGGGGGGGGTCCCTCTCTCAAAGTTCAAACTTTAAAGGAAGTCACATTTCGGGGATGGTTGGAGGGTGCGAGTCTACACTCTTCCTCCTTGCAGAATCCCTCTTCATCAACACTGAAAGCAAAGAAAAACACTAAGAGAGGAGGGATTGTGTGCTGGTGATGTGTGGCTTACTAGCAGGTGCGTGACGTTGGAGGTGCTCGCTGCCAAACACGCACGGTACAAAGTTCTGGGGCTGAGAGGAGCATATTGATGATGTATGGACGAGCCGGGGCTTCCGAGTGGTTTATAGGGACGTGAGCAATCACTAAAGCTCTTCGTTACAATTCTCAAAGACGAGGATTCAGGAAGTGTGTATGCAGACCGAGGTCGCCGTGTGCACACTCTGAACTGCTGGGAAACCAGGCGTCAACATCTGTCACTGCTTCGACAGCATATTTAGGTAAATGTATGTGTTTGTCTGTGTGAGAGTGTGTAAAACAAAAACACCCAAAGTCTGTGGCTCTGTGGCTCGTCAGTGTTTGAGTGTGCCAGTGTGTCAATAGTGCTTGCCTATGTGCATCAATTCAAGGGCAATAAAGTGTGTGTGTGTGTGTGTGTGTGTGTGTGTGTGTGTGTGTGTGTCTGTGTGTGTGTCTGTGTGTGTGTGTGTGTGTGTGTGGCTCAGGAGGACATGCACTGGACATGGTCTGGACCTCCCTCCTCTTCATCAGAGGAATCTGGAGAGCTCCAGGACTCGTCTGAGTCTGGGTCTGCCCCCTCACGACGAGCCTAGATCACGGCAAAGAGGAAGAGTGAATATCACAAATGTTAGAGCTCATTCATGGTCAACATTAGATGAGGAAACAGGCGAAGCCGTTTGTCCGTCCTCTGTGTTCCCTTTGTCTGTGCACACGTTCATTTTGTCTTCTCAAGCTTATGGACAAGGACAATGGTGGAACTTTTTGAGTGGAGATCTTACAAATTGGAAACAAACTACAGGAATCTATATGATGACTATTTATCTATATCTCCTTCATGTCTACATGCTTGTTGTTGTCATAGACTCTCCACTTGGTGCTGCCCTCTAGTGGATGTACTGCTTAACAACCATGATAATGTACAGGACACAGACGTAGGTGGACAGTTATGGTCATTTGAAACAGATGGATCTCATTTTGTACCTAAACAAAATTTGAGGAGACGAATCTGTTCTTGAATAATCCAGAATCAAATAAATCTGATGTCTGCAGGGTTTAACAACAACAAGGGGCTGCATGTTATATATTTTCATCATCTAAGTTCCACAAACAAAACGTAATCTGACTGTGTATCTGTGCAGCCACTCAGTTTCCAGTTTCAGAGATTTTGTCTTAAATTGGAGAGTGATTCAGTCAAGATCAATATTTTTGTTATTCAGTTATGGATTTATTTAAGTTAGGGGACAGGCAAAAAGAAAAACTAAATAAATCATGATGGCACAGGTCAGAAATAAAGCTGTAAAATCTTCGAAAGCTCAAAAACACTATATCTCCCATAATGCAACTAATGGGATCCCTTTGATAGACCCTGCCTTGGACATTTCATCTCCACAACCCAAGACATAATTCATGTTTCCAGATTTTGCTGCAGTATTTGAGAGCTCACCCTCGTGGGCCGTCTGTTCCTCATGTGTCTCATTAGGAACCACAGCAGCTGGGTGTCGTACTGGTCGCCGTGGCGCACGCTGTCTTCATCGCGCTCCCGCTTGTTTTTTTTCATCACCTAAAACACAACGAATCCTTGATTAGAGGTGTTTCAATGTCATAAACAAGACTCTGTATTAGATATTAACGATTATATGTAAACATGTTACAATTAAGTCACTCAAACTGGAATAAGTATCTGTCTGATATCAAAGACAACACTGAAGAGAAGAGAAGAAGATACCTCCTTTAGACCCTTGAGTCCGGTGGGACTTTCGGCAGTGGGGGCCCACAGTTTGATGTCGTGGTCCAACCCACTGGTAGCCATGCCAGGCAAATGGGGATGAGGCTCCAAACAGTTCACCTGTGTTTGTTGAGGGGAGAGAGAAGGACCGAGGGTTGTCTGTGAAGATGAAGCTTTTGCCAAAATTATATTTGACTCCAACAAATATGTATTCCAATATTATTTTTGACTGACCACTCCCCCTCGGTCTCCCTCCATGAACTGGACGATCCGTGCAGAGTTCTTGTCCCACAGGTAGATGTGTCCGCAGTCGCTGCCACTGACCACAAACTCGCTGCACGGCCCGTAGAAGTTTACCCCCTTCACTGTTGTGAACAAGTGATGATGAGAGAGGGTCATGCAAGAAGAATAACGTCCAACAGACAAATGTTTGTGAAATTCTACTACATCAGATAAATTTGATTTTTACTCGCGTGGCTGATAACTAATGTGTCAGATTTATCACTGTGAGGCTGAAACTAAATGTAATGAACACCTGTGGCGTTGTTGCGGTGTCCCTTGTATCTCCTGCGATAGTCGGCCCCGTCGCTGTGGTTGGAGTCAAACAGGTAGATGTCCTCATCGTTGTAACTGGCCAGGAGCTCTAGACACAGACAAGGATAAACAGTTGTTTCATTCATTTATTCTAATGTCATAAAAGCAGGTTGGATTCTGATTTAAAAAAAAACAACATTCAGACATATTTATGTAGCTGAGATCTTTGTTCCTTTTGTTTTTCCAAGAGCAGGTTGAACTGTTTTATCTTGATAGGTCGTTCTAGCAGGCATCGAGTACAGGCCTTGTTAATTTAAATAAACAAGATAAGATATGCTCATAACTGAATAATGTTTTCATTGTGCAGGTGATTTACCTGTGCCATCATGACTGTACACAAGGCAGGTTATGTTGGTTTTGGACTCACTGGAAACCAAATGTGAAGGGCAAAACTTTTTCAGTACGCCATTGTTATCGTTCTCATTAATCTTCCTCTGGTCATAGATCCTACAGAGAGCGAGAAGATGAGGAAGTGAAAAAAAGAGTCAAGTATTAAAGACAGTAAATAACAATATTAAAAAAGTTCTATTAATTGCAACCCATTTGTATAATAATTCAAATGAGTAGCATTAAAACGAGACGCTGGTTCCTACCTGACGTACTGATCTCTCCCGCCCACAGCAAACTGTTGTGTCTTTGCTGGGTTGACGTAGATGGTGTACAGCCCAACTTTTTTATCACCCTCCTTTACAACTGCCAGTTTACTGCCAAACAAAATGAAAGTAGGTATGAGCGATAGCGAAAGAACGAAATCTCAGAAATCAAGACGACATAGTTTAGAAAATAGAGGAAACCTGACAAAGAGGAAGATGTTCAGAGGGGCATGTTCACTGACTAAAAGACAGAATATTAACAACACCACAAAGTAAGTTTTATTAAAACTCAGAATTGTCAACATTAATAATTCAAAGCTAAACTAAATTGTTTTTTGCCTCAGAGTTGCTCAATTGTAACTTAATTATGCCATTTTGTCCACCTACTAAACACTATGTACATTTTCACTCTTTGGGGTCTACGAACTTTTAACTTGGTAAACTTTAATATTGGCATCACTCACTTGGCAGGTCGGTCTAGACGCAGGTCAATTCCAAACACCACAGCGTCCTCTCCAGCAGACAGAAACGAGCAGGGCGAATCGGGCTCGAGGGCCAGCTGAAATTAAAATACACATGAGTCTGAGAATGTACTTCATTAACAGGCCAACAGAGTATATGTATAAACAATTTAATTCACACATGCAGCACTAAGACTCACCTTGTGTGCTGCCCCTTTGTGCTGTGCCACTCGTTTGGTGTTCTTGCAGCGCTGCGTGGCAGAGAGCTCCGCCACTCTGATCTGACCGTCTCGAGCACACATGGCCAACGTGGAGTCTCCGCTGTGAGGCAGGAACTTCGCCTGTGTACATTAAGGCAGGGAGAAGACCACGATACACTTTGTTAAGTCACTCAGTCATCACAATCTGTGTCTCATCATGTAGTGCTGACAATATGAGATAATTAATAACCCTTGTTGTTTAATTCACATTTAACCCTCCTCTGTGGAAATAATCTACCCCTGCATTGTAGTCTTCATTTCTGCTCTCTAGAGCTTTTAGTTCATTAATTCATTACTTTATTACCAGAAAATTCAGCAAGTGTCCAGGTTTGATAATCCATAAATGATTTACACAATTTATCGAAGAAAATGCTGAACTGAAATGTTTGTCAAGCGAGATTTGACTGACTAATTGATTGCAAGATGAATTTGTTGATTTCCCTGACCTGAAAGACGTTGCTCTTGTGCCCACTGTCAAACTCCAGCTCAGCGTGGCGGATGGCCCAGTTCCAGATCACAACTCGCAGATCATCGCTGCCTGATGCCAGGCGAGTGCCTGAGGGGTTGAAGTGCAATGTGTTGACGCAGCCCGTGTGCTTCTCCAGGCGGCCCTGGAGCTCCAGCCTCTGCACGAGGCCTCGGGCTGCACACACACGCCTCACAAACTGGTGCGAGTCCCTGCCGATCTCCCTGGAGCGCAGTGAGGGCACAGAACGCCATATAGGCCCACGAAGTTCACAGAGCTCTGCTCCCAACCATGCTTCCATGGCCTCATCATCATCGTCGTCGTCATCATCTTTCTGTTCTTCTTCATCTTCATCCTCGTCGTCATCCTCGTCCGAGCTGGAGGAATGGTTGGTGCCACCGCCGGGTCTATTCCTCTTTCTTGCTGCCCTTTTACGGCCATCTTTGTCCTTTGCCCTCTCTTGTCTGCCTCCCTCACTCTCTCTTTCACCATCCTCAGTCAGGGAGTAGAGGCCACTGCCATCCATGCTGTCTGTGTCTTCCTCTTCCTCCTCGCCATTTGTGCCTGTCTCTCCTTCCACACCGGGCATCGGCTTGTCTCCAGACACCTCACCTGTTTCTTTGGGAGCTACCGAAATAGGGAAAACCAGAGCCAAAGAGAATGAGGTCAGGACAACACTGTCTCATTGGGAGATTCAACAAAATGTCCTGCAAAAATTCTACCTTTAAGTGCACCAATATTACTCCAACAATGTTAGGAATAGGATAAGACAAGCTAAGATAAGATAATCCATTACGAGTCCTACTATGAGGAAATGAGCCATGCTATGTCACAGCAGCAAAAAGGATAGTAGAGATAAAAACGAACAATAAAAAGGTAAAACAGGGACATATGCAATATAAAAACACAAATGATAAATTTACACAATGTAAACAGTATATTTCCAGGGTTAGAAGGATTGCACATGTAAGATATAAGTTACTGGAATTATACACATAGAAGATGAGTATTGCACAGTTAAATGTTTAGGACTAGATGGTGAATATCCCTTGAATAAACGAAGTTCACCTGAATGAGGATCCTAGATGTAAATAAATATGCCTTCTATGCACTTATAAACATAATCAATCAAATGATCTACTACAGGGCAGCAGGAGCCTTCAGGAGTGGACGTTACCATCTTGAGAAGAAGACTGTGCTTGTCCTTCATTGCTTCCAGAGGCATCTCCCTCCTTGTGTTGATCTTCTCCGGGCTCCTTTTCATCAGAGGAACCTGCTGCGAGCGAAACACAACGAGCTGAGTTCAACATTACGCGAGGAAAAGCAAACACACCAACACAAAGACACAGCGCAGTTTTCCTCCCGGGGGAGCAGCGCTGATCCTTTACCGTTCAACGCACTGGATTTGCCGTCAGCCTCGGCCATTCTGTCCCCTTGGTCCTGCGTCGACCCGAGGCAGCACCTTTGAGTGTCACACACAAACACAACACGCTCCTTAAGTTGCTCAGATAAAACACGTGAGTAATTTGAGATCACTGCTTTGCACCCGCTGTCAACAACAACAACAACAACAACAACAACAGTGTGCTGAGGTTAGCACACTAGCGTCCAGGCTAAAGTTCCTAGCTGCACTCAACGACGTTGACAAACTTGCTAGCTTGCTCACGGGCCCGTTTTAAAAATCCCCGATGTGCTTTGAGGTTTATCACCCAGGCGCCTCCACGATCAACGGGGGCTAATGCTAACTGGCATCGCCGAGGCTAACACATATCGCCCGCTGTCAGTTCCGCTTGACAACCGAACAGCTGCTCGCGGGGAAGCTAGCGCGGCTAACTAGCGCGGCTAACGTTACCTCCACTCGAAGGCCCGACGAGGCGCACTTGTGAGTTATTCGTCCTTAAGTCTCTCCTGCAGATGTTGCGTCTCCAGCTCACCGCCCGGCGGCTCGGCTAGGGCCCTCTGCTGGGGTTGGCGTCGCGGTGAACACACGACATGAGGCCCGAAGGTTTCGGCGTTGAGGCCGCACAAGCTCCACCGCTCTCTGTTTATGTTTTGACGCTTCACTTTCTTTATTCGCGCTTCCACTTCCGGTGTCGCGTCGCTTTTCTTTCCACCGGAAGTTGACAGAGGCTACATGCTAACGATGCTAACACCAACAAGTAGCCTCTTACTGCTGCTGCAGTGAAAGGTTCAGTGTGTCACATTTAGTGAGAGGGATTTATTTGCAGAAATTAAATATAGAATGATCCTAGCGACGTTTTCACTTATGTGTTTAATCTCAATTGTACAAATGGTTGTTTTCTTTACTCTAGAATGGGACCTTTGTATTTAAATGCTTTATATTTACATCTTAAAGGTCCAGTGTGTAAGATTTAGGTGCAAAGGAACTATTGGCAGACATTTAATGTAGAATAATACTCATGAAGTTTTCACTATTACGTTTCATCTAAAGCGATGAATTGTAGTTTTCCTTACCCCAAAAAGGGCCCTTTATATTTAAATACCTTATATTTACATCGAGGGGACCCTCTCTATGGAAGCCGCCATGTTTTTTTAGTTGTATAACTTTCATGGCAAGCTCAGGGCCTGCTCCGAGAGAGATGCTTTTAAATATGAGAGGATTTGTACAAACACTTATAACTTTAAAATGCCAAACAATCAGCAGTAGCATACATGTGTGTTTACCTGCTAATTATTACAAAATATATGCAAAATCACCAGTTTCTCACTTTGTTCACTTCTGTGAAACTGACACATGTTCTATGTTTTCATTATTTGTAACTAACTCAGAAAGGTTGTGGTTTTTAATGGTGTGATTGTGACAGCTTTGGCCACTTGGGGGCAGTGCAATGAACAGAAAACACTCTCATCACTTAGACTAAGTTGAGAAAGTGTTGAAGCTATGTTTTTGTCCACCTGGCAAAATAAAGTCCATTGGTCGTTGGTCCTTTTAGCTCTGTTGAGGTCTCCACCACAGTGAATCCTGAGGTGAATGTAAAAAGCACAAACATTAGGGGAAATGCACGACATGACCAGAGATGGAACAAAACAAAAACTCAATAATGAGGAAATTTTTTTTAACAAGAACGGTTCCCAGAAATGCTCTGGGAAGCTTGGGGACAGGATGGAATTGATTTGAATAACCAGCAACATTATAGATACTTTTGCTAACCTAGCCTCACTTAACCTTAATTGACTTAATATAACCTGACCTAACCTAACCAAACTTAACCTAACCTAAACTAAGATAAGATCAACTAAGCTGACCTAACCTAACCTAAACTAACCTAACCTACCCTAACCTAAACTAAGCTAAAATAAGACAGCATAACCTGACTTAACCTAACCTCACCTCACCTAAAATAGGCTAAGCTAAGGTAAAACCTCATCTAACCTAAGATAAGATAACCTAGCCTAACCCAACCTAAATCAGGCAGCCACTTCTCCTGACTCCAGCTATCAGACAATAGGCCTTGTTCATAAACTAAAGATTGACATGTCACAGCTGTCACATTGACATGTCACGTTAATGGTATAATAGTTAAATCCACCAGTGTAATGCTGAAATTATAGGGTTTCAGTTTTGTATAGTGTTTGTGTAAGAAACTGCTAAAAGACAGAACTAACAATGTGTTTGTTATGATATGATCTGATATAGTATAGACATTATTTTCATTGCATTATATGATTTATTCTGTATTCATAGTCAGAAAATCTTATCAGAGTGTCATATCAAGTCCATAAACTTGATCAATGTCTGAGGAAACATCTGGCTCTCCCACACAGGGTAAAATATGACGGGATCCCTCGGCTTCCTTCCTGTGTTTATGTCACGAGCTCACTGACAGTGATCTACAGCATTACATCGAAATCCTGTGGCAGGACGATGTGCCTCTCCTTGCCTCTGTTAGATCCTTTGATTCTTTTCTATCTGGTTATAGATAACCTGCCTCAAATAACTCAGATTATCGTAACCTGTCAAAATCGTTTATAATCCACATGGAATGTCAGCTGAGAGTGTGGGGGAGGGGGTTTACTTACAGACACAGTCACACACAGCTCCTTATAATAAGTGCTGGAATTTATAGCCGATTGATTGATTAGATGACTGAGAGAACTTTAATTGAAAACCACCTTAATAGTCAATTAATCATTTTTATCAGGTATTTGTATTTAACCTCAGCGTTGATTCAAAATCTACTGATGTTCAATAAAAATAAAAAAACACAATAAACTTCACAATTAGATTCTGCAGCTTTCCCCATTCGTTTCTATAGGAATATGAACTCAACTCATTTTAAAAGTAAGGAATACACCTCCACCAGTACTACACTACCACTACTACTACCACTACAATTAATACTACTGCTACTAATACTACTACTACTACTACTACTACTATTGATAATAATAATAATAATAATAATAAAGTATAATTACATCTTAAATGAGAAATTATTATAATAGTATTGTGTTTGCCAGAAATATTCTAATTACTCACTCTTACAGTGGAAAGCATGAGGGGGGTCCAGCAGCTCATTTCACAGCCTGGGGTTGAAATGAGGAAATACAGATAAATCAAACTAAACCTAAAGTGAGTAAAGCCCTCAGCCCCTATGCTCTTCTTTTCTATCACTTTCTGTTTGAATGCATTTTTAAAATGTAATGTAATGTCTTTAAAAAAAATAATTTTAATGACATGTTCTTGTGTGACTTTTAAATCCATTCTCTTCCTATTTCATTTTCGTTTTTACATGTTTTTATTTGTATCTAAATTGTGAAGCACTTTGAGCTGCAGTTCTTGAATGAAAGGTGCGATACAAATAAAGTTTCTAATAATAATTATTGTTATTTTGAACAGAGGAAATGTGTGTTTAGTGTAAGTGGAGAAAACAGCTGATGGGAGTTGGATCCACCCCTGAGGAAGCTGACAGAAGGAGGAAGGGGAAGTTGACAGACAGACAGACAGGGGGGGTTTCTCCGCTGAGCAGATGTGCGTCCTCCGGAGAACAATCTGGAGCTCAGAGGGAAGAACCAGCTGAGCTGAGCTGAGCGCAGTTTTGTCTCAGTCCATCATGCCCACGTAAGAGACGGGGACAAAGTTTCCGGGACACACGCTGCACTGACCCGCTTGGTTTAACCACCGACAACATGGAGCACTGGAGGCAGTGCACGGTTTGGCTTATCGGCTGCAACGTGCTGCCCATGAACCACCGGGTGACCACGGACACGGCGCAGGTGTTCGACCTGGCGCAAACCCTGCGGGACGGGGTGCTGCTGTGCCAGCTGCTGAACAACCTGAGACCCCACACCATCAACCTGAAAGAGATCAACCTCAGGCCGCAGATGTCACAGGTGCAGTCCACCTGTCTGTATGTCCTCTATCTGGCTGTTCTCTATCCATTTCAGTCTGTCCCCTATCCCTTTCTGCCTGTCCTCTCTCCTCTATCATTTTCTGTCTCTCCTCTCTCCTTTTCTCTCTATCATTTTCCATCCGTCCTTTATCCTTTTCTGTCTGTCCTCTATCCTTTTCTTTCCTCTCTCCTTATCTATCTGTCCCTCTCCTTTTCTGTGCATCCTCTATCCTTTTCTGTCTGTCCTCTCTCCTTTTCTGTTGCAAAATATAGACTGTGCACAAAGATATATATGGAAACTAACTTGTGCAAGGGACTGGAGAAATGCTGTGACTCGGAGGCTATAAAATGTGCTTTGCATGAAGGTGAGGCAGTTTTATTTACAAAGCACATTTCACACAGATTCAATGTGCACGGGGACATAAACTACACAAAGACAAATTAAAAGAGATCCATTAAATTCAGAAAGCAGGGTTTAAAATGGTTTAAAGCTGAAATAAAATGAGATAAAAGAGGTAAATAGTGACTTGTGAATAAAAGAACTGCAATGAATGGAGCATTCCTACCACATGTCAACGTGTGTGATGAGGAAACGACAAGCACGTACTTATTGCACAGTTTCATGCAGAGGTGTGGGGGTAGTTTCATTTTCTGCACCTTTAGGTTATTCCATGATTCTCAAACAGACCAGTCAATTGTCAAGCTTTGCAGCCTAAGGCGAGTTTTTGATCAGGTTCCATCTGCCACACTCACCAAGTCCCATCAGCCTGGGAGCTGTCGTCTTTTCCTCTGGCTCCCTCTCAAACTGATAACTGTCACTGTAAACATTAAGGCCTCACAGTGACCTCTGTCAGACCCTGGCCACAAACAGACTTGCTGCGTACTGTTTCCCTGACTTTGTGAGGACGGCCCTGGAATAAGTGACAGAGCTCTATATTTCCTCCAGCCTGAGAAACCCACATGAGTGGAGTAAGGTTTGACTGAGCAACCTTTACTTATTGTTCCTCCCGCTGCCACTGGAGACGCCTGATAACATCCTGGCTTTGATCCGCCCATTAATTTGGGAACGCTGACTATTTGTGCAGCGGCTTGTGGTCGGCTCGCCACTGAGACTGAGGCCCAACAAGTGTAGTTATCCATAAGGAGACATTGTGAGTTCAACACACAGAGAAACTAGACACATTTTGATTGAAGATTTTGTATTTATCTTCTTACATAGATCACATCACGACAGGATACTTAATCTCAGTGTTTGAGTTAAAGTTAGGCTACATTATATAATATCTTAATGTGGTGAAAAGCATCTTCCCTGATACGAATGCAGCTGATGTTTGTTGCACTATATCTCATTATGGCAATAAACTCAACAAACGTGGTTACTCACTAATAGTTTTCATGCCTTTGTTAGTTTTCACTCCTCAACGTCTGTTTGTTGGTTGGTTTGAACAAGGTTACATAAAAAGTACTGGACAAATTATCACAAAACTCAGTGGAAGGATGCAGTTTGGGTCAGGGAAGAACACATTCAAATTTGGTGCAGATCTGGTTTAGGTTGTGGATTCAGGAATATTTGTATCACTTTCTTTAACGTTGCAAGAAAAAGGCGATTTTAAAACAGAATAATTCATGTATACTTAGAAAAAATTCTGGCATACTTAGGGGACTCATTTCTATTAGTGTGTGTAATTTGTTTCAGTTTAATTTAATTTTTATTTTTCAATTGAGTGCCATACTTGTTATATGTCATAGTGT